AACCTGGCATAAACCACTTTTGCTAGTTTTTCTATGTGATGATGTAATAACATTTAATTTCTATGCAGGGTTTCATGATTCAGACTGGTGACCCAACTGGTACAGGAATGGGAGGTGAAAGTATTTGGGGAGGAGAATTTGAAGATGAGTTTCATTCAACTTTACGACATGATAGACCATATACACTCAGCATGGCTAATGCAGGACCAAATACCAATGGATCCCAGTTTTTTATAACAGTAGTGCCAACTGTAAGTAATATTAAAAACATAAGGCCTGAGATGCTAACTGGATAGTAAAAATGTGGGGTTTTTTTCAGATGGAAAAAGGAGCAGACTAATACTATCTAAATAATTTCTTATTTTGCAAATAAATGCTGCACACAATGATTTACGTGTTGTATCAAATTCTTAGCGCATCAGGCATTTTTGCAATTGTGCTTTATATTAACATACAGTTTAAACTTGATGGAAATGGAGCTCTTGCTTAGATCATTTGAAGATTTGAGATATGGTGTGAATCGAATAGATACAAAACAAATGCTTGAAGGTAGTACTTAGAGAAACTGCCTTGCTGGAAATTAACCTCTATAATACTTTAAGTAAACAATTGAAAAGGGGAGTTTTAATGCATATGAATGTGTATTAGCTGCACTCTAATATTTTACATGCTAATATTTAAATGGTGTTAGGGTTTGTTTTTTTTTTCATAGTCCAAACATACATAATATGTCCATATTCACTTACTCTTGATCAATATCTTTCTGGTTTGGTACTTAACCTACATGCTGCTTTACATTTTAATATGTGCTTTCTTTCTCCTCCTGTGCCCTCAAACAGCCATGGCTAGACAACAAGCACAGTGTCTTTGGACGGGTGACTAAAGGAATGGAAGTTGTTCAGAGAATCTCAAATGTAAAAGTCAATCCCAAAACTGACAAACCTTATGAGGATATCAGCATCATTAACATCACTGTGAAGTAAGTGAAGAGTTGAAGATTCCAGATTAAGAAAAAAAAGGCAAACAAAACTCAGCACTGTGGGACCCGAAAAGAACATTTTTCATAGAACCCTAGCATTGCAAGGGTTGGAGGGGACTTTAAAGATCATCTAGATCCACCCCCCCTGCCATAGGCAGGGACATCCCCCACTAGCTCAGGCTGCCCAGAGCCCCATCCAGCCTGGCCTTAAAAACATCCAGGGATGGGGCTTCCACCACCTCTCTGGGCAACCTGTGCCAGGGTCTCACCTTCCTCATGGGGAAGAACTTCCTAATGTCCAATCTGAATTGATCCTTCTCTGTTTTTTGATAATCCCTGGATCTGAGAAGTGCCAGGACAGAGCACTTATGAGTTCTACTATTTTTAATGTACCTCAACTGCCCTAAGTCTGTATTTTTGGGAACTTTGTATTTTAAAGTAAAAACATTGCATGTTTCTTACAGAGTCTGTTTTTATTGCATTTCTTCTATGCAAAACTGAGGATAAAAGGCCACACCATTTCTCATGCAAGCATTTATAAAATAGGATCAGGGTACAGTCTGTAACTTTTCATGCTGATTTGCATCTTTCAAATCTAATTAATCCTTTTCACAATACTAAAGTCTTGACCTCTGTCATCTAAAAGTGCTTCTGTACATGTTTACTGTGTTCCAGAACAATGGTCACATCTTGCAATTGCCAATAATGTTTCACTCCTTAAACTAAAATAATGAGGAAACAATGGAGTGTGTTTCTGGCTTAATTTTTATTCAAAAATAAATGACAGCAGTCACCTGAACTAAGCTTGTATCAGGTGTTTCTGAAGCATTCCTCAAAGCTCAGATAACTTCTCAAGCTGTTATTGCTATGAGGGATAGTTAAGTCTCCTCTCATAACACCACTGCACATGGGACTCACTTCTGGTACCTTCATTCATGAAATGAGATGTGATGGTAATCACATTCAGTCCCTCAAAAGCTGCTACCACTAGGAAACTTGTCTTCAGTGAGATAAAGGGATATGAGGAAACAGTAAAAAAAAAAAATTTTACAGCACATTAAATATAGCACACCTCTATTCTGAGGAGGTTAAGCAAAAAAGGGCACATTTATTAATATACATTATACATTAATATACATGTGTTTATTGAAAATTAATTTTCTGGGCAACTCAAATTGCAGCAGCTCATGATCTGAAAGAGCCCACCCTTTCAAGTTATCTTTACCTACTGGAGCAGTTCAGAACAAGAAATATCTCAGAGTAAAACCCTGAGGTTCCACATAGTCCGCAATAAATTTGAAGGTAGCATATAGTAAGACCATCTCACATGGAAAAACACTTTTCACTTAGCTGAAACATACTATTTTTCAGCTGAGATTCTTTAAAGAAAGCCACAACACAGTCACTGAATGTTTTATTTACTCAACTTAACTTCACAATTAAGTCAAAATTCTATGACACATTACTCAGTCTTTTCAAATAATCCCCACAGTAATGCTTGAGTGAATTGTAGTTAAGGAAATATTGCAATTACATATTGCATAAGTCAGTACACTAAAAACTAAATTTCAGTAGAACTGGTAAAACAAGCTTAAATTTGTAACTGGAGCAGTTTATATGTAGTATTAATTTATAATACAAATAAACCTCTTAGTGTACCTGTTTACACTGAAGAGTTCACAGACAAATACAACACTTTCACAGTTATTTCAAGTCATCTTAAATTCCACTTAAAAACACTTTTATGGTAGCATTCTCCATGTATCACAACCAATCCTTGTACTCAAAATATGCTTAAGTGAGATTTTTTTTCTCTGCCTTCAGAAGTAATGTTATTAAAAATCCAAACTGGTCACCTTGAACATTTTAAAGTAGAAGTAGAACTATACTGAGAGTCATGTATAACTAAAGCATAAGCCAGCTAAAATAAAATTACAGAATCAGGATTTTTATAAAGAATTAATGTCTTCCCTGTTAATAATATTCTAAGAAAATGTATCTGCCATGCTTTGAACTTGCTCCTGTTTTAAAAAGAGCTATGAGGGGACAGTCAGCCCTAACTATACCTGGGACTACTCTGCAGCTAAGCAGATGCTAAGCAGATGCTCAGGTCAGAGCAGCCAACTGTCTATTGTGCAAGAAGTTACAGGCAGGGAAGGCTGAACAATTTTTAGTTCAGTAGGTGCAAGAAAACACCTCTTACTCCACTGTAAACTATTTCCAAATTCATCAGGTTGTCGAAGAAAGTAAATACCCTTTCTCAGGACCTATGTACAGGCAATCCAAGTCCATTTCACAAATATGTAACTACTTTAAAGCTTAGTGTTCTTTCAGCTACAATTCAAGTCATTAAACTGGCTGAATCTGAAGCTCCATTTAACACAACTTACATGAAATCTTAAGTAACAAAAGAAAACTACAGGTGTCCTTATGAGGAAGTAGTTAACTGCTTCCTCCTGAAGCAAAGTGCAAATACACTAAATTATTTGTTTATACAATCTTGGCTTTACCCAAGGTACACAGTGCGAAAACATAGCAAGATCAATAATACTACAGTAAAAGCCATAGCCACAGATATATTTTCCTTGCTAGGTGAGGTGCACAGCTTTCACATTTAAACACACTCTTCAGCGTGGGAAAAGTATCTACCCATCTGCAAAAACACCACTCACTTCCACTGTCTCACTCCCTCAATCCACCTCTGCTCCATTAAGAAAAGTGATGATGGGCAGTTTTGATCTCTTGGCCTTGTTCTCTCTGTAGCTCCCCTACCAACAGGAAGAGGTCCATGGCATGGCTTCTTCAGTTGGCCGTGGGTATGCACTTAAAAAAGGAAGGGCAGAAGATTTCTGGTGTGCATACCAGACAGAAAAATTTGTTAGCAGAGTTGCATGTCCAGCAGAAAAAAAGACATCAGTAAGTCACTGTAACCTCCTCTAAATTTAAACAGTGCTACACAGCCATTATTTCACAGGTTTGTGAATGAGTAATCCTCAAAAACAGAGACATTGCTGACAGTTCCATGAAGAAGATACAGTAGAGAACTTAAAATCTAATTATGGAAGTTTTATATCACATTTTACAATCTGCTCTTCTGTATTATAATCAGCATACACTGCTGTACAATGTGTTATTTAATATTAAGGCCACTATCTTAATCTGGGAGCATGACTTCTGCATAAGAGTACATAGCTGGATTGACATACCATACTACTTCTTTAAGAAGTTTTGGGGTTTTTCAAACTTAATTTTACTTCCTGAGGAGTAAGATTAACCTCTAAAGGCAGATTATGCCCTCAAGCATGCACAACACACTTTCACCTCAGTATCACTACAGTCTGTCCATAAATAATTTAGCATGTGTACAATTACCAAAAAAAATCCAAAACCCAAACAACCAAAACCACAAAACCAACTAGCCCCTCCCTCCCCAAGTAGAAAACAATTAGTGAAACAATGCCACAGCCCCCTACCCCTGCACCACTGTTCACTCTTCTCCATTTCCTTTGCCTGTTATGATGCCTTCTGGTAACAAACAGGGAAGCTAGTAAGTAACAGGTGAAGCATTTTCTTTTTCTGGTGTATTTACACGCAACTTTCAACGACACCTTCAGATTAATGCAATCTTTAGATATTAAAGAGTAGCACCATTTACTTCTGACTAATAGACATAGCTGGCTGCTCTAATACCTTGAGATGGATTTTGGAATAGTTTTCTGGGAAAGTATTTTTAAAACACACAATTTTTTTCAGACACCAATTAACTACTGTAACCTTGTTGTAATTATTAGATTAATTCCAATGCATATTTTTTCAGGGAAGAATTTTAAATTTTAACAACCTAATTTCACCAAGAAAAATTTCAAGGCACCCTTGTAGCGACCCGGTTCATTACTCGTATCAAATTTCAAAAACACTATAATAGCAACGGCATAAGTTTACTGAACCAGTTATCCAACTTAGGATAAAGGCTTATATTTTTCTGGAACAAGCAAGTTGAATAAAATCCCCTGTTCAGTCAGCAGACCTGGCCAAAATATCCAAAATCGTGCAAAAAAACCCCAAATCAAAACAGAACAAAACATTAAACTACAACTTTAAATTACAGCTGCTCTAAAATTAAGCCACATCCAGTACACCAGCAGCCACCAACTGCCTCGAAAGCCAGTCCAATCCTTCATAAAGTCCTGTACCACTTCGGGCATCACAACCCTGAATATACCAGCTGCGGCCACAGCAGAGTTTGTGGAGACTCAGCAGTTCTGTGATTTCTTCCACGGAAAGTGCACCTGCTACATCCTGCAACAGAATCAGATAGAGACTCAATTATTTTTCTCTATGTTTCAAGCATTTTGTTTTTAATCAATGGCTTAGATTGAAACTACAGATCACATAAAAACTTTCCAAACACAAAAGCCCAATAAACCAGCTGTGCACTTACTACTCGTTACCATAAGGCAAAAAACGATTGTTGGATCTACTAAGCACTCTAGCATCACTTATTTGCCAGCATTAAACATAAGGAAAACATCTACATTTTATGCTTTCCATATTATCATTCCCTACCCATAGCAGAGGGTTCAGAAAGTTGGAATACGACATACAAACTGAGGAAAGAGTAATAGAGTGAAAAAAATCACAAGTACCTGTTTATTAGCAAAGATCAAGAGCAAGGCATCCCGCAATTCCTTCTCTGTTAATAATTTTGCAAGTTCACTGTGTGCTTCACTGACTCTGTCTCTGTGACTACTATCAACAACAAACACCACCGCTATGAAAGAAAGAGAGACATCTTTTACACACATTCAAATATAAACTCTGTAAAATCAGCTTTCACCTTACATGATTTTAATTTTTTTTTCTAGCAGTCTTCTATGTGAAGTTTCTCAGCAGTGTGCAAGGTCAGTTTCAAATCCAGGAGGACTGAGAAACACCTTACATACTTCTACACTTTGGACAAAAGTCTAGAATTCATCCTAAACTAGTTTATTGCCTAGTCTAGTGTAAAGGCTGTGATATTTTAACTACTTAGGTATAAAAACAGATTTACTGTGTGTGGACTGAGTATCTCAGCTTAAAGCATCTAAAACCATTTCTTGATCCATTTATACTCAGTCAACTCGTACACAATTCTTCCAGTATCCCTTAACTGGCTGTAAAATCTGAAGGTTCAGCCAAATCTACACAGCTTTCTTCAAATGCAGGCTACACAATGCAGAGAAGACTGCCATTGACCTGACACAGCAGCAATAGATTTTACTCTCTGCTACAGAGAGCAACCAAGATGCCAGAAAGGCTGGAGAGTCAGGGAGGCAGAGCTAGAGGACAAAATTTAAGCTCATGGGTTTTGCAATTAAAAAAACCCAACACCAAAACTATACAAAACTTACTGCAGTTATACACCAGGGTAACTGCTTAGACTTTCTCTCGAACACAGTTCTTCAGGGCAGATGTCTACATTACTGGTGTTCACACAGTAAGTTTTAAGAGGACAACAGAAATCCCAAAACACAATTTTAAAAAGTTTGAAAATATGAACAATGTGAAGTGTTAAAAGTTCACCATGAAGGGTGAAATAATGCACAAAGGGGAGCAGCTGATGTTTGTCATTCCTAATTATTACAGATAATTCTGGATGAATTAATGAGGAACGACTTTCTAAATGGGAAGCCAACTATGGACAATTTATAGCAGGACAGTACGAATTTCTAAGTTAGCACCATTTAGATCAATGTTTTCAGAATCAGTAATCTAGTCTACAACCAGATATTACACCACAATACCAAGTCATAAGTTATAGAACTCCACAGAATTTTTTAAGTTGCCAAGTAAAGGCTCCTGAAAGCTGAGTATTTTCATTTCAAGTGCTATTTAAATTTCATACCTGGCAAGTACTACTTCTCACTATGCAAACTTTGGAATTCTGCACCTCATCTGCTGTCAGCCAGAACCAGTATAAGAGACATTCTAATTTTGTTCAGCAGCATGAACTGTCTGATGGATTTATGTAGAATGCACCTTTATCACGCAGCAGACATCATGACCAACTGGATTAAAATTTCTTAGTTTATGAATCTAGCAGCTGCATTTTGGATTAGATGAACCATTTTTTACAGTTATAAATTACTTCTATTAATAATATTTTTGGCTCTTAAATGCAGGCTAGAAGACAAAATACAGTTTAAAATGTATCAGTCTCACCTTGTGTATTGAGATAATAATGTTTCCACAAAGGCCTCAATTTATGCTTCCCTCCTACATCCCAAATAGTAAACTTCAAATTCTTGTATTCTACAGTTTCAACATTAAAGCCTAGAATAAAAATATTAAAGTTTTATAGTCTTTTTACTTATTAATATAAAATAATCAGATTCTACAGATAAGTCAAACATTCAGAAAAATCACTGCAATTAAACTGTTGTTACTAACCTATTGTTGGAATTGGCTGCATGAATTCATCTTGCTTTAACTTAAACAAAATAGTTGTTTTGCCAGCTCCATCTAACCCTAGAGTGACAACCCGAATTTCCATTTTTGGTCCAATATGTACCCTGTTGTCCTGGAAGAAACAGCATATACAAAACAAGAGCAAGTTTAGGAAATTCAAATGAGAAAACCCTTATGTTTAAGATATTTATTTTGTCACTCTTTGTAAAGTGATTAAACAGATGGACTGCAAAAATACAAGACATAATCACCAATCACCCCCAGCAATAATATAAATCAAAATATTCAATTATCTATGTAGTGAAGCTGCAACTTCTGAGCTGCCAAATGCCTCTTAGAAAGAAGGCCAATCTCATGCTGCACTTGAGAAATTTCACATTCTTTCATCATTCTTGGGTCAGAACAGATTAGGAGTTGTTCATAGCAATTGGAATTCTCTGACCAGATAACTTTGCTCTGTGGCTTTTCCACTCTTTTCTTACACTACTGAAGCCCCACCTACAGAACTATTTAATTGCTGGAAGGTTCATAGCTATGCCTCTTCACCTCAAGTAACTTCCAATCCTTTACCATGTTACAATGGCAACATGATTAGCATTAAGCAGTAATCAGAAATAGTTAAGAAAAACCATGCAGAAAAAAACCCTCAAGCCTTGCTTGGAGGCAAGGAAAGAGAATCAACATCCTATTTGTACTTTAGACCAAGCTATCATGATTACTGAACAATCTGATGCTAACAATGTGAATTACTACTATGAAGCAACAATCATAAATCATAAAATAAACAACATAGGCCAAGATTGCTATGTATTCCTGAAACATATTTTGAAGTACTTAGAAATGCTACCTTGATCATAGAACCACAGAATATTTTGGGATGGGTCATCTAGTACAATGCCCCCTGCCATAAGCAGGGACATCTTCAACTACATCAGCGTGCTCAGAGCCTCATAAAACTGATCTTGAATGCTTCCAGCGACGGGGCTTCTACCACCTCTCTGGGCAACCTGTTACTCTGCTTCTCCACCGTCACTGTAAAAAACTTCTTCTTTATATCCAGTCTACATCTACCCTTGTCCTGTAGCAACAGGCCCTGCTAAAACAATTGTCCCCACCTTTCTTATAAGGCCGTTGAAGTACTGGAAGGATGCAGTAATGTGTGCCCAGAGCCTTCTCTTCACCATGTCAAACAACCTCAACACTCTCTAGCCTTTCTTCTTAGGATAGATGTTCCATCCCTCTGGTCATCTTCGTGGCCCTGCTCTGGACCTGCTCCAACAGCTCCATGCCCTTCCTGAGCTGAGGACTCCAGCACTGCCGGTGGCATCTCACCAGAGCAGAGCAGGAGGCAGAATCACCTCCCTTGACCTGCTGGCCACGTTTCTCTTGATGCAGCCCAGGACACAGTTGGGTTTTTAGGCTGCCAGCACACATTGCTGGCTCATGTTGACTGTATCAACAAGCACCATCAAGTGCTTCTCTGTAGGGCTCCTCTCAGTCCAGTCATCACCCAGCCTGTACTGATACCAGGTGTTGCCCTGTGCATGATGATATACCTGAATTTCAATTATCACAACGATGTGGCTTAAAGGAAGGCAGAAGGAAAAGAGGCACCTCTGGATAGAGCTGCTAAATTTATAGGTTTCTTGCTGGAGGCAGCACCCTGGTTATGGGCAGAGCTTGCTGACAGTGAGCCTGCCTGGCCATCTGTGCAGAGAACAGGTTTCAGTGAACAAAGGCGAGATGCAGGGAGGTGTTAATTCAGCTTAGCTCTGTCTTGCCTTAACAGATCCTTTACTGTGATGACCCAAGGGGGGTTGTGGAAAATGACCTGAGTCATCCCAAACAGAAACAGCAGACAAAGGACTCCAGTGCGAACAGAATCGAAACCCAGACAACAAACATTTCACCCTGAGTCTCATATTCAACCACTATCTACTCCTGAGATGTGTTATATTTGGCTGAGTAAATCATGTATGTGTGAAATACACTAATCTGGCTAAGTATCAAGATACACTAATTTGGCTGAGTCACCAGTGTGCTAGTTACCACTAGTAGGGGGTAGCACTGGTGTGCTAATAGGAGGTGCCCAGGAGAGAAAAGGGGAAATTTTATGATAACACCAAAGTATCCCCAGGCATGCCTCTGCCACCCCTACATCCCATCACTACAGTATAAAAACTGTAAGATTTTGGGCAGAATTTTGGGAGTGGGAGACAAGTTTTACCAAATATACAGCAGGACTGTAGGAGGTTCTTCCCCCCTCATTTGAGAGGTCAGATGAGGACATCTTCCCTGGGACTGAGAACAATTACCTGAGAGAGGGTAAGTGACTAAGAGACATGTGGCATACTTTAGGATTGCTATGGTTACTAACGTGCGCACTTCGTAAATCTGCACTAGTACATTTTTCCTGGGAATCACTTAAGTTTACAGTTTTTGATTTGAAGATGTGACATCTGTCTGAAATCTGTTGTGAGCCACAGACCTTTCAGGTACAAAAGTCTCACTACTGTGGCCATCAGCACAACAGTATTCCAAAAGAAAAAACACCCACACAAAACGTATAGAAAGAGAGCTTTAAACTTAGCAAGAAGTGAGAAAGCTAAGAGACTGAACCTTACATTTTCATCGCTGCTGGTTTTGTGCAAAAAATTATCTTTGTTTGGAACGTCTGAAATTCAGAATCTAAGCTCCAGAAGATTTCATAAAAATACCATTTTGTCACAGGAGAAAAACAACTAAAGCCTCATTTCTAAGTGCCGAGAGACATTGGGAGACTTCTGGTTCCCTCAGGCCAAGACCAATTCAAATCGCCTATTACGGGCTTAGTTGGCTGCAACCATTCTCCTTGCAAATGCTTGGAAATTTGCAATCGGGTCCTAAAGGCAAAATCAGGCATTTAAAATGCCTCTCTGACTCAGCCTTGTGAGATGGCAGCATCAATCCGTTCTGAATACACAGAATGCAATTCATCGTCGGTGAAACGTGAATGCTACTTCATTCATGGAACAATGGGGGTTTGCAGAACTGTCTCTGACCTTCCCCCAACTCTGGCCTGAAAGAAGGGGCAGAAGTGAAAATATTGAATTTGTTGATCTGATCAGTTATCACATGGAAATTTACAAATCTTTAAGCCACAAACCAAATTACTTTGAGGAAACTGTATTTCTGACATCAACAAGCACTGGGACAGAATCCCCACGGAAGCATCCATTTCCTTACAGCAACGGCTTCTACAGCAACAGTTAAATCTTCCAGTTTCATCTCAGGAACAATATTCCTCTTTCACACATTCAGGATGAAAAAACCCTCATAAATTACAGTACTACTTGTTCTTCAGAGATTCAATCTTATGTACTCTCCTACATGAAAAATATCACCATCTCCAAACTTCAAATGATTTCATTGCTTTCAAAATACTGAAATGATATTAAAGCAATTAAAAAAACTACTTAGATGATGTACTGTGTCTAAACTATCTGTGAATACAAAGCAACACCAAGACAAATTATCACCTAATGATCTGAAGGAAATACACTATTTTTAACACTGTAAGCAACATTACAATAGCCTTATTACATTTGAAAACCGGTGTGCAATTTTCAGGAAATAAAATAATAAACATTTTGCAGAAGTTACGTCATCCACATGAAAAAGCCAAAAATACATGGGAAACCAAAGGGTAGATTTCTGGTCTAAGTTGAATATACAACAAATTAGGGATGCTTCCAAAGAACTGTGTTTCCAGAATTCACAAACATGGTCTTACATATTTAAAAGTAGATAATGCTCAGACAAAGCTACTGATGTAGTCAACATCAAACAAATGTTTCTCACACTAACTGTAACAGCACGGTGCTTTTGCTGTTCAAGTATCAGATGGCACTGAAGATATGATAAGACACTGCGTCCCTGATGCTGAACTTCCTAAATTTGCTGCAACATATACAGCATCATAATAAACATATATCATTCTTGCTTTCTTTTAAATTACGTTTGAGATTTCATGAAGTGGATAGCTGTACTTTCATGAGATTAAGAATACCTTTGTAAAAGTAACAGGTATGCTAGCATCCAGCTGTACATGATCTGCAAGTTCTGTAAACTGCTGCTGCTGTTTCTGTAATGTCTCCAGCAATCTTGTAATTTCCTGTTTGGCCAACACTACTCTGCAGTCATCCTAAACAGACAAATAAAACAAAAGCATTACTTTCCTTTAGCAACTTACTTAAAATAACCAAACACAGTGTAAAGGGATGGCTGGAAGCACTTTAAATAGAAATACTCTAGTTAAGAAACTCACATTTACAAAACAGATTTACTTAAAATTGTAGTACAAACACGAAGCCCTTGCCATTCCTCACTAATGCCTCTAGATGCTAAGTAGTTCTGCAGTTCTAAAAAAGCTTTTTCATTCGCCTGTTTTAGTCCTGCAGGAATAGGAATCTAAGAGACAGTAATATAGTAAATACAGAATATTTATATCATTCATGTATCATTCCAGCAGCCGGAACACAGCAGCTGCTTTGCAGCTTACATCAACACACTGAAAAAGATTGATATCCACCAGTCAATGATGGGAACCTTTGCATACTTCAAAGTACATCTGACTAAGCAACCAGACACTAGCTCTGAACAAATTAAGTTAAAAATAAATTACAAGTAACTCATTAGTGAAGTAACTTCTCACACTCAATTTACTATTCACTACATACATGATTTCCCTCTTGCTATCATTGAATTAAGTGAATAATGGACCACGAGATACTCTCATATAGCCACTTCTTTCACATAATACGTTGAATTGCCAGTATTACAAGTGCTACTGGAAGTTACTTAGCCCTAAAACATTTTCTCCCTACCAGCCTCATATGACCATTATCTTCAAACACTTATACTGGTAATCTCAACTGTAAATGCTTCCCACAAATCTTGTAGGTTTTATGCTTCAGTTTCATGACTCCTTACTATTAATCTCACAGGTAACCAGAAATTACTCCAGACAAGAGAATCCTGCCACTGGATTTACAGCAATTGGAGGACTTGATGGTTTTGGACAAATCATCCTTGTCTAAACCACCCCTGTAATGAATACTTCAATCATATCATTACTGTTTTAACATTGTAAAGGAAATAAAAATGCAGAGTACCTTTTTGTTTGTAGTCTAAACTTAATTCACAGTTCATGTATCCTGTAATTTGCTTCAGTTCATTTGCCAACCTACCTGTTGTAAAGTCTTTTCACAATGAAGGCAGGCTGTTGAAACCTGTGACAAGAGGATGGTCATGTCTTCTTGCTGTTGCCTAAGCCAAATCAATTTCTCTCTCACGTGAGCATCAACAACACTAAGAGCCATTTCCTCCTGACGACAAAGGGTTTCATGAAGATCAGAAAAATAGGCTCGGACACACGAGCGAGCATTCTCTGCGGTTCCTGGTACCTACAGCGTTGCAGAGGATTAAGGACATCGGTTGATTTCAGAAGTACATTCTTCATTTTATTCCAGTTTCTAACTTAACTTTACAACTGCTTGGCTACATCACAGTTCAAGTCCCAGTTACACGGAAAGCCTTATCAGCCCTAAGACCAAGATCCTCCAAGAAGTTACTCCAATTATCAAATAGCTTTTTTTGTATACGTACACACCAGTGGAAATGACCAGGGAAAAAAGCTTCAATAGCATGACAGCACCTGAGAACAGATGCAACCTGCCACAGTACTTCAATACTGTACTAACAGTTACACAGCTTTTCCTCCTGCCTCTCCATTTTCATACAGACTAAAAACATTTTAAGAGACTACAAATTCCCCTCTATTTGCTGACGTACAACTCAATACTGACTTCTTAGATGTATGAATTTAAAAACTTGTCTAACAAAACTTATCTTGGTTATTACAAAATCCTTATCTTGGTTATTACAAAAAGCAAATATTCTGTGCATGTGGCATGAAAAAAAAACAACACAACACATACATGTTCAGTATGGGCCATTCCAACTCCATCTTCAACTATTTGTTCTCCTCCTTCTATATGCTGAACAATTCCAACTAATTTTCTGGAATAATCTGAGATTTCTTCTGTGAAAGTTCTTATACAGTGGGCCATGTCTAAAATGGATGCACGAATCTGGTTTGCTTCAGGTTCCAAGACAGAATGCTATTAATTAAAAGCAACATATCAAAGGCCAATTACAAACAACCTCCTTAATAATCTTAAAATAATTTAACTTCATATTTATATATATACACATATATACATACACATATATGCATATACAAGAAAAGCAAGTAAGAATTTAAAACCATCTTGCAATTTAAAATGTAATCAGGAGTTACAGATTATGCTGAGATTAAGTATCTAGCAACTACACAAGTTAACACACAAATTTTCCTTGTTTACCCAATCAATTATACAAAAACGAACAGTAGTTAGACTGCACCAAGTTGGGTGGACCTAGTGTTTGTATGATGAAAACAACTTCAGAATTAGCGTCTCAATGTTGTCAAGTTCAGAAAAGCATCAGATAAAGGAACTGTCCATCTTAATATATATGTAATATTATGATCTTAGAAACAATGTTTTTTTTCTTGTAATTTTATCACAGCAGTTACCTGAAATGAAGTGAAAGTGAAAAAATGTTATAAAGTAACTTCTGGAAAGACATATCAAGAATCTGGCCTCCCTTCTATATAATGTTTTGTACTTTAACTGTATACATAGTTTTGCAAGCCACCCTATAGCATGACTAGAAACAGATTACTAGCAGTACCTTATGACCTTGATGCTTCCCATATTCTTTGCAGACACAACACATAAGAGGACTCGCCTGACAGCCCTCTTCCAAACAAACAAACTCAATAGCATGCACTTGGTGTTGGGAGCACATGGTCTTCTCATGAGGCTTATCAGCAAGAGGCACACGCCTGTGCTTCGCCAGTGTCTTGGTAGAATGAGTAAGCTGCGAACAGTCTGCACACAGGTGAGTGGCACAAACAGTGCAATATACAGATGCAATGTGGGCTTCATCTTCATCGCACCTAATGATACTCTAAGGGAAAAAAAAAAAAAGGAAAGAAAGCCAAAACCGAAGTTGTTAATGTTTAATTCCCAAAACTGAGGAAAATCAGAAGACCTGCTACCAATATAAGCTTGAAAACAGCACCTCTTTAAAAGTTACACTAGCAGACATTAGGACTGCTTTGATTTTTGTTTTTTAAACATTTATTGAGAGCTTAAAATCAACTTTTCAGTTTCATTTACAGTCAACTCCAATAAACCACTCTTAAGGTGTTCAGCGATTTTATAAACTCAAACTTCAGTGAAATCTGTAAAGTTTTGGAGGATAAAATAACTCATGTTCTAGTCATTTCCTCCAAAGAAGACATCATATATAAAGAATTACAAAGTTACAGACAAAATACCAATGGAAAAATGCACTTGGGACAGTTATCTATTCTGAGAATAGCATTGCATGATACTTTTTGCATAGCAGTTGTTACTACCGAAATGATTAAAGCAGACAGTTTTGATAATGAAGTGCTGTCACATGATGTAGTGATACCAAATGACGATAAAAGGTGAGAGCCTAGAAGAGCTGCAGTCTTTAGGAAGAGTTAGTACGAACTTTTAGAAAACTATCTTTAAATCACTGTAACTAAAATATGCAAATGAGTAGCCTTTTCCAGAAGTTTTAAAAGCCTTAACACGGGGAAAAGAGTATGCATGCTTACAATGCCTTTTTATTTCCTGCTTTAGTCAGTAAAGTTCAACATTTATTTATGAAGCAATTAACTGCAGCCTTAATACCAGATGCCAGAAGAAAACAAAAGCATTACTATAGAAATTTTATTTACCAAAGAACTGACTTTAATTTTTTTCTATCTAGAGATAACTTTAAGCAAACGTAACAATTTTTTTTCTGTTTTTTTTAAAGCTCAGTACCTCTCCAGATAGACCAATGGCTTCTTCTGCTGTCCCACATTGCCCAGCGGGTCCATTCTGCAACCGTTCCAAGAGCTCCAACAAAGCAAAATTCTTTTTCAAGCCCCAGACACCAGAATCTCCTATTTTTGAGGAAGAGTTAAATGAAGGAGATAAGAGGAAGAAAAACCTCAAATACCATCATAAGTTCCACAAACCATACTTGAGATTCTGACAAATATTAAGAGTACATTAACTAGTGATATTAACTGAAGCGATATACAAATATCACTTTTTCTATGTAAGCTCACTCTTTCTATCCTTTTTTCCACTACAGAACTATTTAATATTTATGCACATTTTCCCTACTTAAAAGATGCCAAAATTATTAAAAACTTACAAAAACTCAGCAAAAGCACTTGCAAAATATCCTGCAACAGCTAACAACTAAAGACCAGAAGGAAGATAGAAACTCAAATATGCATCATAAAAATTAGTATTTTGCATAGGAAAGCTGGCTGTCTTTCAATGTCTTTCATCTCCTCCAACCTCACAAGTACTGCATTCCTAAAAAGAGTAAATCAGGCAAAAGCACCAGGAGGCCCACATGGAAGAAAAAGGAAATCCTGGCCAAAATCAAATACAAAAGAGGAATCCACAAATGGTGTAAGCAAGGACTGGTAAGCTGGGATGATTATAAGGAAATTGCTTGTGAAACCAGAAATAAGGTTAGAAAAGCTAAAGCCCAGACAGAATCAAATCTGGCCAGGGACACTAAAAATAACAGAAAAGGATTCTACAGGTATGTGAGAGAAAAAAGAAAAATGAGTGAGAATGTGGGGCCTCTCCGGAGGGACACAGGTGACCTGCTTACCAAGGACATGAAGAAAGCTGAAGTACTCACAACTTTTTTGCTTCAGTCTTCACTGCTAATCACTTGAGCCACACCACTCAAATCACAGCGGCTGCTGGGTGGGTTTGGGAGAGTGAAGAACCACCCAGGGTAGGAGAAGATCAGGTCTGGGAACACCTAGAGAACCTGAAGGTGCACAAGTCCATGGGACCTGATGAGATACATCCACGGGTCCTGAAGGAACTGGTGGCTGAAGTTGCTAAGCTACTAGCCACCACATTCAAGAAGTAGTGGCAGTCTGGTGAAGCTCCCACAGATTGGAAAAAGGGAAACA